ACTATATACAGTAAATAACTGTGATCTAACCGTACATATGATAATGAAATACGTTGTATTACTGTAAATTTAAGTTAAGTTTGTAAAACCTAAAATGTTGCTATTTTTTACGGTAAATTTCACTATTTTTTTTACCGTTAATTTAACAGACTTTGATTTTAACGGTAAAAAAACGTTAATTGGTTAACAAAGTTACCGTACTATATACAGTAAATAACTGTGATCTAACCGTACATATAATAATGAAATACAGTTTATTACTGTAAATTTAAGTTAAGTTTGTAAAACCTAAAATGTTGCTATTTTTTACGGTAAATTTCACTATTTTTTTACCGTTAATTTAACAGACTTTGATTTTAACGGTAAAAAAAACGTTAATTGGTTAACAAAGTTACCGTACTATATACAGTAAATAACTGTGATCTAACCGTACATATAATAATGAAATACAGTTTATTACTGTAAATTTAAGTTAAGTGTGTAAAACCTAAAATGTTGCTGTTTTTACGGTAAATTTCTCAAATTCTTTTACCATTAATTTAACAGACTTTGATTTTAACAGTAAAAAACGTTAATTGGTTAACAAAGTTACCGTACTATATACAGTAAATAACTGTGATCTAACCGTACATATAATAATGAAATAGAGTTTATTACTGTAAATTTAAGTTAAGTTTGTAAAACCTAAAATGTTGCTGTTTTTTACGGTAAATTTCTCTATTTTTTTTACCATTAATTTAACAGACTTTGATTTTAACGGTAAAAATCGTTAATTGGTTAACAAAGTTACCGTACTATATACAGTAAATAACTGTGATCTAACCGTACATATAATAACGAAATACAGTTTATTACTGTAAATTTAAGTTAAGTTTGTAAAACCTAAAATGTTGCTGTTTTTTACGGTAAATTTCTCTATTTTTTTACCGTTAATTTAACAGACTTTTTTTACAGTGCAAGACAAACCCTTACACTGCATGAGACTCATGATGAATGTATTCTGGCCAGAAAAAGCTGTGATCAAAAGCTCTGTAACTCGACTCGAGTGTGTGTTGTCTCTTATCTGACACATTTCCAACATAATCGAATTAGTTCGAAATGATCTGTTGTGATTTTGTTGTATGAACTTAAAATACATTAGTCAAGACTACTTTTTAAAGTTTTGCCATTCCTAATAGAGACAATTTTGTCATGTTAACTGTTTAAATGTCCTGCTTAGATGAAATTATAAACATTATATTTATCTAATTTGACTCTACAGTTACTTCCAATAAAAGTGAAATAATTGTTCAATTACATTAGAACCACTTTTTACATATAACAGTCAATGACCTAATTGCATTAAACACGCCGAAACACTCTTATTATACGTAATGAAAATTCAAAAACATACAGAAAGTCCTATAAGATATAACACATCTGAACTTTAAACACTAATCTTTCCATTTACTTAAAAACGCATAAAATACCACTTTAATCCTTAAATTTAACCTCCTAAAGTCGCTTGCAAAGCATTCTGGGAACTATAGATCCACTATCCGGTTAGTTGTCAACAAAAAATGATTCATGTAATTTTCACACAAATTAATGAAGTTTTAAATATATTAGGTTGATTGAACACAATTAAATTAAATTTTACCGAAATGTTAAAAATCGTGGTAGCTTAATTTATTTATGTTTTGACACCAGCTGAGATTTCCCACTTCCCACTTGAGTCGCAATTACGAGCTTGCCGCATTCACGGGAAGAATGGGAATCATGGAGGACAACCGGTTTATTCTTGACAAAATGTTTTTATTCTTGAAATCTCATTCCCGTCAAGGAACGGGAGGCTATATTATATTGTATCATGTTTGTTGAGATGTGAACGTAATACTAGGTGCAGCTATATATATATATATACCGAATATTTCTATTTATTTATTTTTCTTTGTGTTATTCTTGTTATTTTATCACTTGAAATCTCTCATTGTCTCAGATAATGTTCCTTCTGTTATGTTCTGTGAAAAATATAAATAAAAAGTTAAAAAATGTTGCATCCATTCACATAAACATTCACTACGCTCTCTAGATTTCCAATTCCAGTCAAACACTTGTTGTTTTCACGGTGTTTAAAACGCTTCAATTGATTATTCATATATGTAAATATCTAAGACAAGCTGATGGAGCTGTTGTGGGGAAAACTAATACATAATACCAGTCACATCAGCAATCATTCTCTGTAAAACTTTTCATGGTCATTCTACTATTCATAAATCTGCAACTATATGTCAAATAACTCTCATTAGAGGCTGCTTAATATCTGCTAACACTTTATTTTCATTCTACTGACTATATAACTTTGCAAGTGCATGTAAACTTATTTTAGCACTTCACTGATACTCTAATGACAGTTAGTTGACATTGCAAAGTTACTTTGCAAGCGGACTGTCGAAATAGTGCATGTTTTAATTGTAGTTATCTGTTTTTTGTAACACTTTACCATAAATATTGGATTTGTAAACATTAGTTAAGAGTAGTTCACTTTAAAAAAAAAACAACCTTTTGCTGATAGTTTACTCACCCCCATGTCATCCAAGATGTCCATGTTTTTCTTTCTTCAGTCGAAAAGAAATTAAGATTTTTGACGAAAACATTCCAGGATTTTCTCCATATAGTGGACTTCAATGGGAACCAAACGGAGAGTTTCAGTGCAAACTGTTCAAAGGGCTTTAAACGATTCCAGACGATGAATAAGGGTCTTATCAAGCGAAACGATCGCTCATTTAAAAAAATAAATAACAAAGTTTAAGTTCATCAAAATGAATGAATCTTTTTTCGAGTCATTTAAAGATTAGTTCATTTTAAAAAACGAGTTCGAACAGGAGAGTCACGAACGCGCATCACAGAACAGAGCAAGGCGAGCATTTGAGCTTATAAAACTTAAACTTTGTTATTTATTTATTAAATGAGCGATCGTTTCGCTTGATAAGACCCTTATTCATCGTCTGGAATCGTTTAAAGCCCTTTAAACAGTTTGCACTGAAAGTGTCTTTTGGACCTTGAACCGTTTGGACCCCATTGAAGTCCATTATATGGAGAAAAATCCCAAAAACCTTAATTTCTTTTCGACTGAAGAAAGAAAGACGTGGACATCTTGGATGACATGGGGGTGAGTAAATTATCAGCAAAAGCTTGTTTATAGTGAACTACTCCTTTAACATGAACATCCACAGCATTTATAAATCTCAGTTCATGTTAAGTTCAACATTACGAGGCATTTTTGGGACATACCGCAGACGCACAAACATCTCAACGAACAGACATCCATTTTTGTTTTTTAAAGAAATCTCAAAACTTTATTTTAAGGTGACGTATTTTCTTAACGTACTATAGTAATAACAGTAATAACAACCAAACCAAAACCCTGTAGTGACATATAGTTGTATATATTACTCATGACTAATTTATGTAATAATTACACTTAGAATAAAGGGTATCCATACTCGAATATTGATTGACGACTTTTTTTTTTTTTTTTTTGCTAATATTAAAACCTTGATATATTACTCAAATCAATTTACTCGATTCTGTTGTATTTATCGTGGATGATCATGGTTTTCTCTAAGGTTATTGTGATCCCAGGTGGCTTTATTTTAATATTTTCCTTGCATTAGGTCTGTAATGGCACTTAAACTCAGTTTGATGTGTGTAAGTGATCTGATGTTGTTTGAGATGTGTGTGTGAGATCCTCTGAAGCGATCACTGCGTCACGGATCGGTTAATGGCGCATGTTTATTGAGAGCAATAGAAGTGATGAATGTGTTCAACATGCAGGAACAGAGCGCTTTCCCTCGCCCCATCATATTTACATAAGTAATATATATATATATATATATACTTCCACTGGGTCTCGTTACATTGATGCACTCATATATGCTCACTGTATCTGAATGAAACGTCTGTCATCATTCAGCCTCGTGTCGTCCCAGAGATTTGTAGTGAATAATGACTTAAATTTGCTGCTTCTCTCATATATACACCACTGTTCAAAAGCTTGGGGTTGGGAAGAGTTTATAGTCTTTTATGATCTCCAATGCTGCATTTATTTGATCAACAATATTGCAATCTAAAATAACTCTTTTCTATAGTAAAGTGTCATTTATTCCTGTGTATTTTCACTCCAGTCTTCAGAAATCACTCTAATATGATGATTTAATGCTCAAGAAACATTTATTATTTATCAATATGACTATTTTTTTTTAATTATTTGTGCTGTTCATTATTTATATATATTTTTTTTTTGTGGGAACTGCTACATTTTATCGTTCGGAATTCTTTGACAAATTCTTTTGTAACATTGTAAATGTCCCTTTTGATCAATTTAATACATCCTTGATGAATAAAAGTATTAATTTATTTTTTCTCCAAACTTTTGAATGGTAGTGTGTGTTGAATGCTTGTTGTGTGTGTGTGTGTGTCCTGTTAAATATCTTCAGATTTATTCCACAGAAATCCCTTTAAAAGCAACCCTGTCACTTTCGATGTCTTGTTTTTGCTAAATGTTCTTTCATTTTCATTACTTTTTGATTCGTTTGAACAAATCATAATGATTAATTACTTAATGCCATTGATTTCAGACGGCCTTTGTGAACGCCGTTAGCAGTGGTGTGTTTTGTAAAAGTGGATTGTGTGTGTGTAAGCCTGTGTAAATGCGCCGTCGCTGTAACAGTTGCGTATGATTCAATTAGCGGCTAATGTATGTAATCCTCTCGTAGTGTACGCAGAGATTGTTGCTGAATGAGGGATTTGATCCCGCGCTCATCCTCTCCTGAGAGACGGAGAGATGATTATATTGGCGGCGATTAGCTCGTCCTGACGGTCTGATGTCATTATTGTAATGATGTTTGTGTTTTCACATGATGAAAGCGTTTGGCCTTGTGTCGTGCTTTTCTGTGTGTGAGAGGATTGTGCTGGTGTTAGGAGATATTAATGAGATGTTGATGCTCTTGTTTTGTCAGATTCTGATTAATTCTGTGAGCCCGTCCCGACCGGCGCTGGTGTACGAGAGCGTCCCGGTGAGCGAGGGCAGTCCGGTGTTACGGGACATGCTGTTCAGCCCAGACCTCCAGTTCATCTACACACTCACCGACAAACAGGTGAGCGCACGCTTTCACACACTTCAGAACGAGGATTTCAGTGAACAATAACCTGGACCGGATCACTTTCAAAACGTTGCAATGAGAATTTGATTCCATGATTAAAATGTCAAAATGCATGAAATCTTAAAAGGGATACACTTCACCTCTGGAAAGATCAATGTGTGTTTAAAATTGGTCATTTATGGTGAAGAAATGTGAAATTGTTTTTGGATTTGGAGCTTTCTAGACTGAGAAAAGCCAGAAAATGTATTTTTGGCTTATGCTGATAAAAGACAACAACTCCCAGAATGCACTTGCTTTGCTGCCCTAGGAGGCCACGCCCACTGGTAACAGAGCGCAGTCGTTAATCAACAAGTCTAAGCTACTAGTGAGTCTGCCCGAAAATGTGTTTCGAGATCGCCCAAAATGTCCGGGATCGGGCTTTTGCGTTCTACAGTCGCCATTCATCATAGACGTATACACTAGACCTCACCTTGGCAACGGCAGTTCATTGAATGCGTCAATAGAGCCGCCATCTTGAAACAGGGGAGCCCCTCCACTTTAATGCATCAGCGTCCATGTAGTAGACACAGGTCTAACGCAAATAAAATCACCATAAATCATCATGAATGCGATTTTTCTTGTTTTTTTTTTTGGTTCGTTCCAACGGTCAGACATGTATTTATCATTGATTCCAGAAATAAATTTTTTTAAACATTCTTCCTAGTTCAGATTTCATCCGTGAACATCATACGCTGCACAAAAGTCCGCCACCATCAATGAATTCGAAGTAAAGGCCGAGATAGCAGCGTTACCTAGCTACTTCCTATGACAAGACTCCCTGTTCCAAGATGGCGGCGGTTTTGACGCATGCTTAGAATCCCAAGGTGAGGTCTAGTGTATATGTCTATGGCCATTCATCATGTTTACTGTGGCGAGCGGGACCAAAAATATCTATATAAAGACTAGATATGTCGTCCACGCTGCTGGCCAATGGAGGTCGACGTCTGCACCTGGCGGCCATCTTGCCACAGGCAGCTCACTCACTCGTAACATTACATGTGCTATTTAAATGACCATAACTTGCTCAATTTTCTACCGATTTTCAAACGGTTTGTTTTGTTATAAACGTCAGAGATGTAGTTATGACACTGCATACTTATGAATAAAAAGTGTATAAATAAATAATCATCCAGATAATTATAGCCACGTTCAGTGTTGTAGTCGAGACCACCTCACTCGAGTCCGAGTCGACACCGAGACCAGAGACGGTCGAGTCCGAGTCGAGACCGAGACCAGTGAGGGTTGATTACCTAATTTACTTTTATTTACTTAGAGAAATCCTTTTTTTTTTACTGAATTTACTTAGAGTTTAAAAAATATGATCAGTTTAGGGTAAAAAGGCCACATAGTAGGTGGTGTTAAAAGTAATTTTATTACAATTTGTCATGCGCAGCTGCGCACTAGAAAATCACCAATCACTGGGCGTGTCAATCAATTTAAAGAAATATTTCATTAACATACATTAATAATCCTGAAAAATATTTTTAATTGAACTCGAGTGGACTCGGGAATAATTCCGAGTCCTAAAAAAAAAATGTTCGAGTACGAGTCAATTCCGAGTCCAAATGGACACGAGTCCATGACAAGACCAAGACCATTAAAATATGGTCTCGAGACCAAGTCTCGAGTACTACAACACTGGCCACGTTAATAGCGTTTGTAAGGAACCAAACCGTTTGTAAATCCGTCAAGATTTCAACGAGATAAGGGTATTTGTGTTCATGCTGACCACTCATCTTACATCAGCTTGCCTGTGACAAGATGGCCGCCGGTGATGACAATGGAAACTCCGCCTTAACACATCTAGCCTTTATATACATATCTATGAGCGGGACGAGTGAGGGCCGTGGGAGAACGTTCTCTATGGGCGGGTTGAGAACATGCGGGACGGACCCTACTACTGACTGTAGTCTTTAGCCTTAGTTTGGGCGAAACATTTTTTCCAGACAAAAAATACTTAAATCTCTCGTCTCAGGGGGATATGAGGGTGGAAAGCATGGTAATTCAAAAAGGGTTTTCTACTAACACAAGTCCTGAAGTATCCCTTTAATAGTCCCACAAGTAGGTTGTGTGTTCATTATGCATAATCTATTCATTTCGAGTTCTGCACAAAGCTTTTACAAACGCGATGCAATCAATAGTTTCATCTTTATGTCATTGCACACTGACATACATACACACACTGCACGGCCAAAATAGGCAAATCATTATCGCAGTGATTATTATCTTATATGTTTGGCAGGAGTGTGTAGCTTTTCACTTCTTAAACAACCAGATAGATATACACATATTCCAGGAGGATGATGTCAACATTCATCAGGAATCATTTCCACACATGAATTGTGGATGTGTGGAGGAGACCTTAACCAAAAAATGATGCACCTTGTTATGGAAATAAATGTTGTGATGTTATTTCCATCAAGATGTGCATTGATGTTTGCTCACTATCTTATTGGACAAAATGGACATGTTTTTGCACTGAGTGTTTCCTCATTGATCATGCATGTGTGTGTGTGTGTTATGGAGTGTAGAGTCTCTTACACACATCTATAACATACAGTGAGTGATCAATAAGATGATGTACATTACAGTGTCATCTGATCTGATTATTGATGTTTTAGTGTACACACACACACACACAGTGTGTATCTGCTCTATACGTCACATGAGATTCCATTGATTTCATTTCTGAATCCAGATGAAACATCACTGCCCGACGCATCATCAATAATAATCATCACAATCTCATGATATTATGTAAAGTGTGACGTTTAAACTTATTCTGCTTTGATGTAATACACACACACACACTTGTGTTGCTATGCTCTTAATTTCCAGTGTTTGTTTCCCGTTCTGTGAATGATTATCACACTACCATGTTTAATGTAGATAAACTTCTGACTCAACCAATCACATGATTTTGGGGCGGCGGTCTCCGTTTGACTGACCAATGACAGATGGAGAGAGTGTTTGAGCTGGAAAAAAAAAGTTTAAAACCTACTTTTTTTAAATGAATAATTCGCTTTTTCGGATGATTTTGATATGAATGTGAGTGTGATTATTTTTTGTAACATTTGCGATGAAATAACGGTGTCTCCTGGAGAATACGCCCTTAAAATACCAGAAGTCCTTCGTCTCTTTGTGTTCTGTCAGTTTCTATTTTTCCTGTTCCTTGACTTTTCTTCTCGGGATAATGAAACCGGCTGGCAGAGAGTCTCAGGAAAAGCACAAGCTCCATTTAAAGCCCTGACAGAGTAATTTAGCATTGGCCCCTTGTTCTCCAGCACTTAATTAAAAAGTGTTTGATAGCCTGTCTCCTCTCGCCGTCCGCCTCGCTCGGCCCGGGGCGAACCAGCATCAGCTCTTACAGCTCCAGATTACACACGCATCTGGATGACACTCCAACAGGAATCAAACTCACTATTATAGCAGCACTATTATGCTATTATATTTATATAAAGCTTCATAAATGTGTTTTAGACAGTCCCTCCAGAAAAACGCGATTATGCGATTGCTGAATTCAATGCAAAATCAGCCAAAGTCCGCATATTTATGCGGGGGCCGCATTTTTTCAAATACGCCGCACTTTCGGGGTTTGCATAATTTCATAATCCTCGCATTTTCGTTGCAAAAAAAGTCACATGTATCTTAGCAGAAAGTTGAAAAATGTTGTGTTTGCTTCACACAAGAGCAGCCATTTCCCCCTGTTTCCATGGGAACGTTAGGAAGTGACGCAATTACGCGACGCCAGACAGACTCACGGAGGCGATTGACATCTCACAAATCAAAAAAAAAATAAAAAATCTCACAAATCAAACTCGTATAACTGTCTGTCGCACGTTCTACCGTCACATCGTTACTTAATAAACAACATAAGATAAAAGAAGTAGCATCAAACAGAAATTACCCGCACACATGGGGTGTTCGAGGCGCACGTATCACTGCAGGGAGCGCGCAGCTCTTAAAGGGGCCACGCCTTATTTACACTCATTACAGTCTGAAATAAAACAAGATGAGAAATTAAATATTCCCAGCACTTTCTGTGATGTAGTATGCTTGCTTATCAAAGGAAGTAATAAGAAATGACTCTTACAATAGCCTAGTGAGAACAGGGGGGAATCACTTTTTTTCTCTTTTTCATCAAACCGCAATTTTTGCAAGTTCCCTCAATTTGTGCAAATTCCTGCAATTTCATCGCATAAAATTGCATAAATATCCCACATATTCCATCGCATTTTTAAAGAAAACGGGCCACGTAATCAATTTTTGCCCGCAAAAAACAAAAACAAAAAAAAACTCTGCGGTTTTCTGGAAGGACTGAATACTATTATGGTAAATGTTATATATAAATCGCACATTTTTTCACAAATTTTTGGAAATTACCACCACAAAATCAGTCATTTTGATCGCAAAAATCACAAAAAAAAATCGTGAAATCCTGGAGGGACTGTTTAGAGTCTCCTACAACAGGTTTACATGCATCCAAAGTCAAAAAACTCTCATAAGCATCTGAAACGTCTTCAGTCTCTCTAAGCTCCGCCTCTCTGAGAGCTGCTCTGCTCTGATTGGTCAGAAACCAAACGCTCATTATCATATCTGAATCTCAGCTCGATACGCAGTGATACGAACAGTAACGATGGACGTATCAATCTCGTCAAAGTGGATTTAACCTGCAAACCAGAGTCAGAATGATGTCACATCAATCACAGCTCATTTGCATACTTTCTGCTACTCTTGAAGAAATATTCTTATTTTCCTGTTGGACTAAGTTTATTCTTCTGATATTCGTACTTGTTTTAAACTTAACTCACTTAATTTTGATCATTTATTTCATCTTAACATCTTAACCCATTTTGCATCTCAAGTAAATGAGTGTTGATTTTAGACTTTAAATATATTCGTACTAAAAATGAGAAGTTAATTAATTAATATCTTTATCTTTATTGTCCACCAGGGTGGAAAATTGTCTTTGGCTCAACCAGAATAAATATACAGACATATAAAACACAGTCTTAAAAACACACAGATGACAAGTTCAATAAAAAAAAAAAAAAAAGAATAATGGAAGATTTATAATAGAATAATGTTGTAGAATAATGGATGATTTATAACGTAAGTTGAGGGAAAGAACTGGTTTAATAAAGCGAGTGTGATGGTGTGTGAGGTTATCATGGACACACAGGAGTGTGTGTGTTAAAGAGTCTTAACCTTTTTGTTCTGTCTAATCAAATCATTGATCATCTGGAGCAAAGTTAATCCCATAATCCTTTATATCAGCGCAGAGCGAATCATCCAGTCTTACTGCAATTAAGAACTTCAGAAGTGTGTGTGTGTGTGTGTGTGTGTGTGTGTGTGTGTGTGTGTGGTTCAGTATTGATTGTGTGTGTGTAGGGTCTGTATTAAAAGCCTCTTGATTGGTTGAGATGTTTTTACTGAGAGCCACTGACAGTAATGCAAGAGAGAAAGTTTCCTCTCCTCTAGTGTGTGTGTGTGTGTGTGTGTGTGCCGGATGGTTTTATAAGTTAAAAAGATAAAAGAAAGCTTTCACATTGGAGCAGTGTTAGTTTATAACTACAGACCAGTTAGATAATAAGCTACTCCCATGAAGCATTGCAAATGACATCACTGAATCAAAAGTGATTTTTTTTATATATTTCTTCATGTTTATTGCAAAATATAACGTACTGTTCAAAATTTAGTGTGGGTAAGATAATGAAAGAAGTCTCTTTTGCTCACCAATACTGCATTCATATGATTATAAATACAGTAAAAACAGGACATTGCCATTGTTTTCTATTGTAATATACATTAAATATAATTATTGCTGTGTATTTCCAGCATCATTACTCCAGTCTTCAGTGTCACAGACATTCAGAAATCACTCTAATATGAGGATCTGATGCTCAAGAAACATTAGGATTATTATCAATGTTGAGAACGTATATTTTAAAACATTTATTTGAAATGAAATCTTTTTAACACTATAAAATTGAACATTTGTAAAAACACACAACCGTGTCCATCAGCTGATCACTTAGAGTTTCTGTTGTATCTGAAATATAGAGGTTGATGTAGAGTGTGTGTGTCACACACATGCGTCATCATCATCATCGTGTCACACATTTGATTGACGTTTGAAGCCTGAGGCGCTGAGTTTTCCTCATCTCTGAGATTGAATGTGTGTGTTTTGACACATTATCATCAGGTGTAGTGTGTGTGTGTGTGTGTGTCATTTATCTTGAATTCATTTGCGTGTGTTTTGGCTGCAGGCTGCAGTTTAACACGCTGAATATCAGATGAACGCCGCTCACGGCTGCTCGCCTGTGTGTGTGTGTGTGTTACATGATGACTCTCACCATGTACTAAAATGACAAATTAATGTTGAGCTTGCGTCAAACAGTGTTGTCCTTAATGCATATTCGGTTTCTTTATTTTACACTGTACACACACACACACACACACACACACACTGACAAGGCTGCATATGGTGAACTGATCTTACAGAGAAACGGATGTGCCATGAACCCTAAACGTTCTCACACACACACACACACACTCACACACACAGAGAGAGAGAGACCTAACCTCACCATCTCTACTATCTCACCATCTGTTCTTCATCTCTGCTTATCTTCATCCCTCCATCACTGTTTCTCACCTTGTAAACTGATACTGTGTGTGTGTGTGTGTGTGTGTGTGTGTGTGTGTGTGTGTGTGTGTGTGTGTGTGTGTGTGCGTCTCTGCATCTGTGCGTGTGTGGGTGTGTGGTGTTTTCCATCATGCACTCTGCTGGGTTTATATTTGCCTTTAGATTAATAAGTTAAGTTATTTATTAGTAATATTATAATAATTGGGTGTGTGTTGGTGTAATTACTCAAGTGTTTGCTGATTGATATTAATGATCTGTGTGTAGGTTATTGTTTGGTTTGGTTTAGGGTTAGTTGATTAGGTAGGTAATTATACATCATTTAGTGTTATTCACTACATATAGCATGTGCTACTTCCAAGTGTTATCTTGTGATATCTTTTATATTAAAAAAACATTATCATCATTCAACACACATGAACTGATGGACTAGAGCGACACAACTTTGTCTTCCTTGGTTTTGCTTTCACAACTGCCTTCCTCCCTTCCTGTCCTTCCTTCCTCCCGTACTTTCTGTCCTTCCTCTAATCCTTCCTCCCGTCCTTCCTTCCTTCCTCCCGTCTTTCCTTCCTTCCTCTCGTCCTTCCTTCCTCCCGTCCTTCCTTCCTTCCTCCCGTCCTTCCTTCCTCCCGTCCTTCCTTCCTTCCTCCCGTCCTTCCTTCCTCCCGTCCTTCCTTCCTTCCTTCTTTCCTTCCTCCCGTCCTTCCTTCCTTCCTCCCGTCCTTCCTCCCGTCCTTCCTTCCTTCCTTCCTTCCTCCCATCCTTCCTTCCTTCCTCCCGTCCTTCCTTCCTCCCGTCCTTCCTTCCTCCCGTCTTTCCTTCCTTCCTCCCGTCCTTCCTTCCTCCCGTCCTTCCTTCCTTCCTTCTTTCCTTCCTCCCGTCCTTCCTTCCTTCCTCCCGTCCTTCCTCCCGTCCTTCCTTCCTTCCTTCCTTCCTCCCATCCTTCCTTCCTTCCTCCCGTCCTTCCTTCCTCCCATCCTTCCTTCCTTCCTTCCTCCCGTCCTTCCTTCCTTCCTTCCTCCCGTCCTTCCTTCCTTCCTTCCTCCCGTCCTTCCTTCCTTCCTCCCATCCTTCCTTCCTTCCTCCCGTCCTTCCTTCATTCCTCCCGTATTTCCTTCCTTCCTCCCGTCCTTCCTTCCTTCCTCCCGTCCTTCCTCCCGTCCTTCCTTCCTTCCTTCTTTCCTTCCTCCCGTCCTTCCTTCCTTCCTCCCGTCCTTCCTCCCGTCCTTCCTTCCTTCCTTCCTCCCGTCCTTCCTTCCTTCCTTCCTTCCTCCCATCCTTCCTTCCTTCCTCCCGTCCTTCCTTCCTCCCATCCTTCCTTCCTTCCTTCCTTCCTTCCTTCCTCCCGTCCTTCCTCCCGTCCTTCCTTCCTTCCGTCCTTCCTCCCATCCTTCCTTCCTTCCTCCCGTCCTTCCTTCATTCCTCCCGTATTTCCTTCCTTCCTCCCGTCCTTCCTTCCTTCCTCCCGTCCTTCCTCCCGTCCTTCCTCCCGTCCTTCCTTCCGTCCTTCCTTCCTTCCTTCCTGTCCTTCCTTCCGTCCTTCCTTCCTTCCTTCCTGTCCTTCCTCCCGTCCTTCCTTCCTTCCTCCCGTATTTCCTTCCTTCCTCCCGTCCTTCCTTCCTTCCTTCCTCCCGTCCTTCCTTCCTTCCTCCCGTCTTTCCTTCCTTCCTTCCTTCCTTCCTCCCGTCTTTCCTTCCTTCCTTCCCGTCCTGTCCTTTCTTCCTTCCTACAGTTCTTCCTTCCTTCCTGTCCTTTCTTCCTTCCTCCCATCCTTCCTTCCTGTTCTTCCTTTCTTCCTCCCGTCCTTCCTTCCTGTTCTTCCTTTCTTCCTCCCGTCCTTCCTTCCTGTTCTTCCTTCCTTCCTCCTGTCCTTTCTTCCTTCCTACAGTTCTTCCTTCCTTCCTGTCCTTTCTTCCTTCCTCCCGTCCTTCCTTCCTGTTCTTCCTTCCTTCCTCCTGTTCTTCCTTCCTTCCTCTTGTCCTTCCTCTCCTTCCTTCCTCCCGTCTTTCCTTCCTTCCTCCTGTCCTTTCTTCCTTCCTCCCGTCCTTCCTTCCTTCATGTCCTTCCTTCCTTCCTGTTCTTCCTTCCTTCCTCCTGTTCTTTCTTCCCTCCTCTTGTCCTTCCTCTCCTTCCTTCCTCCCGTCCTTCCTTACTCCCTTCCTTCCTGTCCTTTCTTCCTTCCTGCTGTCCTTCCTTCCTTTCCTTTCATCTTTCTTTTTTCCTTCCTTCCACATACACACACACACACACTGATGTTATTCTGTTTTCGGCAGGGCTCCTGTCAATCAAATGCTGATCTCCGTGGTAACTGTCAGATGGCGCAGCGTGTGAGAAGCTGATTCTGTGCCTTCCATATGCACACGCACACACACACACATACAGAAAGCAGCAAACGTTTCTCACCCTCCAGCGCTCATCTCTATTCTGAAGCGACTCATGCTTTGACCACAGATTTGCTGCTTTTCCTCTTTTATACTCCACTTTTTCTCTGTGTGGTATCTAATTATCATGTGTGTGTGTGTGTGTGTGTTGTGCAGGTTACGCGTGTGCCGGTGGAGAGCTGTTCCCAGTACACGAGCTGCTCCGAGTGTCTGAGCTCCAGAGATCCCCACTGCGGCTGGTGTGTCCTTCACAACATGTAAGCAAACACACAAACAGCTCATATCTACAGACTCCTGTCCTCCACTTTACAGAACATCTCGTTTCACACCGACAGACATTAAGAAGTTAAATATTTAACCCTTTTAATCAACGGTTTAACCCTACTGTATCATATTTAATAAATCCGTACTGATAAACGTAATGACTTTGAATATTTCAAGATAAACACTTAACTGAGGTTTATTGATCATCCAAACATCATTTGTTAGAAAAATCACGAGTCTCAAATATGATCATCAGGCTTTTGAGGAAGGAATCTCTCAATCATCATTGTATTGCATTGCATTTTATGTTTGATCATACAACATTTTAAAATCATCTTACCATTACACATTATTGGTAAATTTAGAGTGATGACTGATATTCATATGCACTTTATGTTATACTTTTATAAAGTTACATTACAAGCATCAGAATTTCATCGTACTTATTCTTTATGAATATTTCATAATCCAGGCTTTTACAGGGTTAATTAAGTGTTAACCTCTCGTGAACCTGTTGTGTGTGTGT